CTGGCAACACTCTAAGGTGCCCTTGTCTGGAGTTTGTCTCTTTTTCATCCCATCTGTACAATTTGTCTTGCCTTCTTTCCTTTATTGTCAGGCAAACTGGATTGATACATGAACCCTTTATTTCTGTCCCTTAGAAATTCAAGGATAATTGGGTTTCTTGGATGGCTAAGCAGTTTTTTGTTGTTTTGAGTTTTGTCCTGTTGTTTTTACGTTCTCTTCTCAAAACACTAATATCCACAGCTGATCCCTGGGAGATCCTCAAAGTCTTGGAGTTATCATGAGAGGAAGAAAAGAACAAGGACATTTCTAGAGTTACTTGGCATTAGAACTGCTGAAACAATGGCTTCATTTTTTTTCCCTCTCTTAAAAATTATTAATTTGCTTTTTAATTGCAATAAGTTGATATACAATATTATGTTGGTTTCAGATGTACACATAGTAACTCTATAATTGTATACATTTCTAGATGTTGCCACAATAGGTATAGTTACCCCATTATTATACCAAGATATTACAACATTATCAGTCAAATTCTATTTTGTACTTACTTTCCTATGACTAACTTATTTTACAATTTGTAGTTTATGCCTCTTTATCCCCTTCACCTATTTTACCCATCCCCTACTCTCTTCCTGTGGTAACCAGCAGTCTGTTATCTATATTTGTTGATCTATTTCTTAATTATTTATTTTTATTTTGATATCATTAATCTACAGTTACATGAGGAACATTATGTTTACTAGGCTCCCCTCTTCACCAAGTCCCCCACACAAACCCCATTACAGTCACTGTCCATCAGCGTAGTAAGATGCTGTAGAGTCACTACTTGTCTTCTCTGTGTTGCACAGCCCTCCCCGTGCCTCCCCCACTTTATACATGCTAATTGCAATGCCCCCTTTCTTCCCTCCCTCCCTTATCCCTCCCTTCCCACCCATCCTCCCCAGTCCCTTTCCCTTTGGTAACTGTTAGTCCATTCTTGGGTTCTGTGATTCTGCTGCTGTTTTGTTCCTTCAGTTTTTTCTTTATTCTTATACTCCACATATGAGTGAAATCATTTGGTCCTTGTCTTTCTCCACCTGGCTTATTTCACTGAGCATAATACCCTCTAGCTCCATCCATGTTGTTGCAAATGGTAGGATTTGTTTTCTTCTTATGGCTGAATAATATTCCATTGTGTATATGTACCACATCTTCTTTATCCATTCATCTACTAATGGACACTTAAGTTGCTTCCATTTCTTGGCTATTGTAAATAGTGCTGCGATAAACATAGGGGTGCATCTGTCTTTTTCAAACTGGGCTGCTGCATTCTTAGAGTGAATTCTTAGGAGTGGAATTCCTGGGTCAAATGGCATTTCTATTTTGAGCTTTTTGAGGAACCTCCATATTGCTTTCCACAACGGTTGAACTAATTTACAATGGCTTCATTTTACACTTCAGGTTCCTGAAGGGGCTGCTCACCACCATGAAGGGGAAGTTGTGGACCACCCATCTACTGCATTCCTCCTGACCCCCAATTTATATTGTTGGCACTTTGTAATGATTCTGCTATTGTTCCAAAATCCTGTTCTCTCTTGTCTTCTCCCTTTTCCTTAGGGAACTGACCTACATTTACAGCCTCAGCTCTCCACCCTTGACTTTGGTCCCAAGATCCAACACCCAGTTTCAGTGCCCTGATAAATATTTACCCTTGGATGTTCTGCTAACCTCAAATTAATAATACTCATTACATAGTCTGACAATCCCATTCTTTCTTCATCAGATGTTCTCCAACTTCATCCTGTAGTTCCTTCTCCCAAGAACCCAGACAGAAAAACAGAATTGCTTTTGTCTCCTCTCTTCTGTTCCTACAATCAGCCAGCTCATAAGCCTCTTATGTCCTTCTTTTGGTCTACTTCTTTGCTGAATCAAAGTAACATTTTCTATCTAAACTAACAGGGGACTTATATGAGCCCTTGTTTTGTTAATTTTCATTTAGAAATAGCAGAATTTAGATATTATGTGCCACTTAGATATTATCTCAGCCACATAATAGCTTATCTAATAGCATAATACATATTAGCATTAGATATAAAGAAGCTACATTAACTAACCCCCATTTACTCAACTTACTGGTCTGACTGATGTTTCCACTCCTTTTTGCAAATATATTCAGTGATACCTGTGGTCTGCTGAATGCTCAAAACTGATTTCTGTTTCCCAAGAGCCAGTTGTGCTTCTTTGAAAAACCTTTTGATGCCCATTAAAAATTACTATTGTAATTATGTGGACTAACAAAGTGTGAACCCCCATCAAAACAATGACTTGGTTTTTGGAAAACTGAAGTTCAATGGTTTTGAAAGACTTGAAAACAATGAATTGCTAAAAATGCTGTTGCAACTTCAAAGTAAATGCATAGCATACATGTAGGTATGTATATCTCTTTTTAAAGACTTCTTGTTTTAATGAACTTTTAAACTTAATACTGAATGTGATGGTAAAGCTCTGAGGGCTTTTCGGGTGTGCCTTGGGTGAGCACAGCACAGTGACTCTTAGCATGGACTCTGGCTCTTGTCTGGAGTTAAATCGTGTCTCTCTTTCTAACCAGTTGTACATGGTTTTCCTCATCTGTAAAATGAGGATAATACTGATTTCTCTCTCATACAAGGTTCAAATGCATTAATTCATGTAATGTACTTTAAATGGTACCTGGCATATAGGAAGCTCTCATTAAATACCATTTAGAGGTAAAAGTGGGAAATGAGGAATGTTAAGATGAAGAAATAATCTAGGAGGAAATCTAAGCCATGTCCCTGATGCCATGTGACTCACAAACTAAGGAGCCATTTCACCACTTTAAGGAGAAAAGATGATAGAGGAGATAATTGTGGCTGCTGTAATTAATAATAATACTAACAATATAAATAATAACAGCATATTCATGGTACATTAGTAGCTCTTGAGTGTTAGTATGATTTTTCTCCTTGAATAAGCATAGGGATTAGAATCAGGTCCCCAGTTTTCATCCTAGTTTTGCCACAAACGATTGAAGTGACCTCTAGCCAGGAACATTCTCTTTCTGGACGAAAGGTTCCTCTTTGGTTAGTTGGAAGGAAGAGCATCTGCCTGTCTACTCATGGAGTATAGGGCAGTAAGGGTGCAGGGAGGTAGATAGGAGAGAATGGGTTAAGGAGAGGCTGGAAGCCTGGAGTGAGAATTAGCCACCATTCAATGGCTGTAACAAGAATATTCATTCCATCTGGATGCCTTTAGGATGGCTGGAATTTAAGATGTATTCATTGGTTTTTGTAGGCCATATACCTGTTCATGACTTTAGTTCTGTGTTCTGTGATTCCCATTTATTGTATGATAGGGAATGATTTTGGGCTTAGGGGACAGGATATGGAGCAGCAAAAAAATGAGGGGTCATCAGCATGGTACCAGACATGTTCTGCCCCTTTCCGGGGATCAGTCTACACAGAGGATAGCTCTTCTGCCATCTTCGGCTGAAATTGCTTCATATTTAAAGGTGTTGAGAACTTGGCTGCCCATTGTTCAAATATGGTATATGTCAGCGATGTCAACACAGTGTGTTGAGGAAATGTCACATCTGTCTGCAATTGGCTACTTCTCGATAGGAGAAACGCGGCTGGAAGCCTGGAGACCAGATGTTGCTTTCAATCAAATGGAGGTCAAGCAGCTTAGATGAAGAATGTCTGTGCCTCCCTCTCCCTGGCCCTCAGAGAGACACGCAAGGTGATTTTAGTGGAATCATGATTAGTTTAGCTCATGTTCATGTTTTTCTGAATGTATGATAATACAGCCACTAGAACAGAGCAACCAAAATGGTGGCCCTTGGCCCAAGGCTTGAGGACTGCAGCAGAGCTATGCGATTCCTGTTCATGGGACCACATGTCCTGCATTCCCACCTCAGTTTTGCATTGCAGATGTTTAGAGAGACTGAACATATCACTTATCCTCTCTAGACGTCAGTTTTTAAAGTCGAGCGACGACAGCATAATCCTAGATGGTTTGCGTTATCCTTCCCAGCTTCACATTCTGCAATTATGCAGCCAGGAGGGAAGCTTGGCCTTGGCTGAGCCCTGGGACAGCCACCTGGAAAATGAGTGCCGTGAGTTTCCAGGGTGAAAGGTTGTTCTGGTATTTCCTACCCGTCCATGTGGGGAAAACGGATTAAAACAGCTGGTCGGAAACATGTCCTGAGCCAGAGTGAAACATGACTGATCGTGAGCTTGATTTTAAAGGACTCTCTTAATTAAACCTCTTAGAGTCAATAAAATACCTCATCCCTTAACTAACCCTGTGTGCTGGGGGGATTCTAGGAATTAATGTACATTTCAGATGGGTTTGCTTTTGCATTGCTGTTAGAGTGACTGTGAAACAGAAAAGGAAAGACGTCCAGGTTTCTTCCCTGTTCAGTTTCATGCCAATAGCTACATACGTATTGAACATCCATTAAATGAGAAGCTCTTTGCTAGGTGCCACTAGGGACACTGTGCGGAGAGGAGTGGTTTGAGCCCACTCATGGCATTTCCTTCCATGTCCAACGACATCTCCTGGTGGCTCTCTACCCTGTGATTTGCACCCCATAAGCGAATGCGGAGGACTTATTGATTAACAAACTTAGAAAGAATAACCTGCTTGATTCTACCCATCTTTCTAGAAGCTCGTCTCCCTGCACAGAGCATTTACTCTGGGTTGCATTGTCCTGCACGTGCCTTCTGCTGCCAAGTGGCAGACGGGAGGGGTGATGCTGTAGTTTTCAGGGACTGATTTAAAAATCCTCCAATATTTTTTGCATTGGCCTATGGCATTAAGAAATTAAGACAAGAGCATGGAATTTGGGGGCGCAAATGATTCATGTGTGACTTCCAGCTGTGGACTTAGTGTGGAGGCATTTTTTGTTTGAGGTTCGTATTAGCCCAGGTAAGTTTCTGTCGTTCTGTGGTTGACATGTAACTTCTGGGACCTGGATGAGAGTCCGTAAGACAGACATAGGAGTGCTCCCTTTGGTAGCACGTATACTAAAACGGGAATGATACAAGATTAGCGTGGCCCCTGTGCAAGGATCACACACGAATTCGTGAAGTGTTCCGAATTAAAAATAAAACAAAATGGATAGATATATGGTATTTTGACCTTGGTGAATGACAGTTGTTGGAGATTTTGTCCACAAACAAGATACTGTTTTTATGGGGAAAACTACATACATGGGGAATTTCAACTGCTCAATGTGGGGACCAGAGAATTCATACTCTGTGTGCTTGCATGGTCTGGCTGGTGGGGACAAAGCTGAGACAAAAGTCCAATTATAGAGAAGAGACTCTCTACTAGCCTTTTAGGAATTGATGTGCAGAACGACATTAGTGCCTTTAAAGGACAAGGCAACTGAATTCCATGAATGCTGTGAAGCATTGATGAGTTTTTTGCTTCGAATAGTAAATGCCAGGCCTGGAGCAATGCTCAATTGGCTATTCAAAATCCTATTCTTCATTCAAGAGCAAGGTATTGCACAAAATTTTTATATCCTCGTTCTGGTTTGTGATACTAGAGGTGGGGACAGGTGTAAATCCTCTGATGCTTTTATCCCTGGAAATGTTTTTATTCTTGTCAGGTTTATCTTAGAAATCCCCCTATTACCATTTACCCCTAATACAGACCCTTGGACTCCTGTTCTGTTTGCCTGTAATGGGGCTTTGCACACATTGCTTGGTATGAAACACCTAGGGAATTTTGATATGCAATGGTTAATCTGCACATATGCTACCTAAGTTGTGCATACATATCTTAGAAATCATGAATAGAAAGATGAGAATAGATACCTACCAGCAGTAAGGGATAAAAGAGAAGGTGAACTTGCTCAAAGACACAGAAATTTAAAAAGAGAAAAAGAGGAAAAGTGGGCCCCATAAGCAAAGGGAAGCATATCTGGGAAACAGTGAGAAGTTCTGTTTGGCTAAAGTGAGAAGTTTCTCTTTGACTAAAGAGTTGGCTCTGAGTAGATGAGAAATAGAGATAAAACTGCAAAGGTAGCAGGAATAGAATTTTTGATCTGGAATTGTCCTTTGTAGTCCTCTGGTTAGGTCTTAAAGGGGAATCAGGAGACCTGTGTTCAAACCAAATCTATGCAATTAGTAGCTCTGTAGAGTTATTCAAGCCAACATTTTTGCCTTCAGTTGCTCATTATTAAAGTAAGGTTTAAATAAAATATATATTGTAATATCGGGAAATGCCTAGTAGAATTCAGATACATATTAGGTGTTCAAGGAATAATCCTTAAATATGTTGAATCCAAATGTACTCCTTCTCCCAGTTTAATGTGTGAGGTAACTAGGGCTCAAATTAATAAACTTCTTCTTTAAGTTTCTGGAGTTAAGAGTGGCAGAGATGAGATTCAAATCTACCTTTCTTTTTTTTCCCTGTCCACTGGGCTTTCTACTGCATCATATTTAAAGTGGCATGATTATTTCACTAATAGCCTTAGAGATAGCTAGTTAGATTAGGATCACAGTAGAGCTCCTGAAAGATAAGGAGAAGAATTGTGCTGTCTTTGTCAAATCTCTGATGATTTTGGAGCTGAGAGGCAGCACGAGTCCGGTGGGCTGCAGGATGCCTCAGAGAAAGGAAGCTTTCTGAAAGACAGCAATTTCTGTCCATCTAGGTCCCAAGAACTTAGAGGGCGAGGCTCTCCCTTTCCCCAGTATGTGATCAGTTTCAAGCCGTGTCTGTTTCATAGCTGTACAATAAATACACGTTGCATGAATGAAACATTGGAAAGAATGAATAAAACTCATTCAGTGAATAAGTAAATGAATGAAATACATGCATGAGTGAATGTAATGATGTGTTGGTTCCAAACTGGCTTTTTTGCTTCCTTTTTCTAGTTGAACAGAATATTCAGATTAAGGCCTAAAAATTCATAAGGGTATGGTCAGTATCTTCTAGATCATCACTGTTAGAACTACCCCCAATTTGACCAAGATCCATTCTTTCTTGGGAGAAGATAATGAGAATACAGTCTGGTTAAGAGTATTACATTCAGAGTTGGACAAAATAGAATTTGAGTCTTGGCTTGGCTTTACCAATTATTAGCTGTATGATTTTGAGCAAGGACTCAAGGGGAGGAAGCAGAGCAGAAGAGGAAGACAGTGGCCAGCATAAGATGATTGACAGGGATTAAAAAAATATATATATTTGGGAATCCATAGGGATTCCCAGAAATGTTTATTGTCAGAATTCTTTGCTTGAGCTGGAATTTAGGTGGTGAGACAAGAACCAATAAAATACAAATTATTCATAGATGCAAAGCTTTTGTGATGTGAATTTGACAATGCTTCAATTTGTCCATATACATCGGGAAGTGAGAATGTAGTCAGTTCCACGCCAACCAATTTGTGGATTATTTATTTACTTTACTTCACCTTTACACCTTCTATTTGTGGAGAGAGAGCAGAAGCAATATTCAATAGCACTGTTTTCTATTTATTACCAAGTTTTGGGGAAAAGGGGTTCAGCAATGAGAGGTGCTCTCTCCTTTGAATTCTCAGCATGGATTGCAATTCACTTGTCACATTTGTACCTTCCTCCTGCCAGGGCAGTTGTTTACTTGTGTCTTCTTTGCCTTGTTTTAGCCTCAACCATCTCTGCCTCACAGTACCTCAATCACAGTAGGCATTCATATTAGTTTCTTCATGGATTTGAAGGAGATCCTTTGGAAGGCTCAGTTTAATTATCTGAAAATTGTGTTTCTATTGATGTCCTTTTTATTCATTGTTATAGACAACTGAGAGTCTGCAGTATTTGCTTGGCATACCTTAATTTCTCCTTTTGTTGGAGCGTTTGATCATCTAAATATCTGAATTGGGGCAAGAATTGATGGTAAGCCCTTTGTAAGTCATGGTCAAGGCACACCAGGATGATGAGGTGTCCCTTCTGCTCAGCACTTGACTGTCTGCATTGGGGAGTTTGCCATGCGTGAGAGGAAGAGCTGAGCTAGGGTTTGGGATACTAGAAGGCTTGTTTTCTCTAGGAAATGTCCCAGGTGACTTCAAGTGAAAGAGTTCCCTAGCAGAAGAACCACACCGGAATCCCTATTGGACAGAACTTCCTCCTAATCAGGACGTAGGGGATGGGGAACTCTTCTTACAGTGGCAGCCATCCCTGTGACTGTAATCCCTCCTTACTGTCTGAATCTGGAAAACCTTGGGTTACCCAAGTAGTAGCTATTGTAGCTTAAGTCAGGCATGTTTACCCCAGAGAGGGAGAACCTCCATGCTTCAGGCTTCACATCCTACAATGGCAATTAACCAGCTGAGCAAATAAGAAGGTGGCAAGGACCTTGGAGTTGGCAGCATCCAACTCTTCTCTATGCCATAAATGCTATGGGGAAAGAAAGGGAAAATTATTCGAGTATCCCCTGTGGTCTAATGGTTTTATTTCAAACTCATTTTCTTGATTCTTTCCTATAGGGTTTCTTCCCTATTACATTCTAAATACATTAGTCTACTCATCATTTGCCTAATTCTTTCTACTTTTTCACGCACATAACTTGTATACATGTTTCCCCCTGTCTGACATCCCTTTTGGGCGAGTTACTCAGCTTTCATTATCTGTTAGATGAAGATAAAAAAACATCTCCTGTGTTAGGGGTCTTGTGAAGATCAAATAAGACAATTCATGGAAAGGGACTTAACATAATTTCTGGTACATACAAGCTTGATAATTGTTACTTGGCTTAATTTTACTTCTTCCTTTGTCAGGCTGATGAGTTTCTTCTCATCCACAGGTAACCAACTCAGATACACTTTTTGCTTTGAAATGTCTCCTGTCTGTTCAGTCAAATCATTGCTTTTTCTTCTATCCCTCCGTATGATTCTATACATATTTATATTGTATGCAGCTGGAGTTTATTTAGATGTCTGTCCCACAGGACTGTGACCTTTTGAAAATGGTACTGTGTCTTGGTCATTTGTTTTTCAATAACTAGCAGTATTCCTCTGCAAATAAAATCTTAATTAGTACCCATTAAATGAATTATTGAGAGATCAAGTGAGTGAATGAATGAATAAATGAAAGAAAGTTTCTTAAAAAGATGTACTGGGAGAACAAATTGAAATTCCTAAAAGTACAATTGACAGTAGGTTTTGCTTAACTAGTTAGTGTTTCATTTTTGCGGAGAAAAGTTCACAGTTATGCAGGCATTTGTTTTATGAGAATGTTAATGGAGTAAGTTAAGACAGTTAATTGAATTCAACTCAATTTTCTAAATAAGGAATGAGGAGGTATACTAGGAGAATCGAGGTGTTTTTGATTGTGGGGAGTAGAAGACATGAGGAGGGAAAGTGGACAGAGAAGAGGAGAAAATAGACAGGGAGCTAGAGGAGTTTGGGAAGAAAGATAATTGGGAGAGCTGCTGCAAAGTGGAGAGATTTGGGAGAAAGTGAGAAATAATTCAGAGAATTTTTAGGAAACTTTAAGGAAGTTGTCTTTTCCATGAAGCCCAAGGAGTCATTACTATACCACATCCCAATTTACTGAGCTCCCCAGATTAACCATCTCTCTCATCCCCTCTGGATAACATGAATATTGCTGCTGGTGACTGGATATGTTTCTGTTATTTCCTCTAAAAACCCCGTCAAAAACTAGTCAGCCCTATCTTCTCTCATTTGTTTCCCATCTGACCTGGAATTGTCTCTGGTAGTCCTTTGCTGCCCTCTGCATGGACTTCCCTGGCTAATGACTAGGTTTTCATCTGACCAAACTAGATACTTCCATTCCTAACGACTTAAGAGTATGTCTTTCCCAGATACCTTCAGAGAGGATCCATTGCTCACTGCTGCAGGCCTGTATTGAATTTCAGCTTGTACCACATGCCTTCAGAACTGGACCCTTCCAGAGAGAGGAAACCACCTCTTTGTCCTGCATTTTCTATATTCCATATGATTGATCTTTTATCCCAGATTAGTTCTAATTAGGCATGGGTAGTTGGGGACTTGTTATTTAGTCTCTACCTTCCTTGAAACATATAAAACATTAACATCAGTCAGCCTCTCACATAGACAGTGAGGTAAAACATCTCTACTTCCAGTCTATTTTTGCTTTGT